AAAAGTAGAGCTGCTTTGGCTGGTGCATATTCTTTTCTGTGCTTTCTTTTTTTGGTTTTATTTTTGAAAGAAGAAAAGGTCAAAATCTTCCAGTCTTTCAAACATGCACACCCTTGATTATAATTTAAACAAATTCAAAGACCCTCACATTATACTGGCTACAATTAAACTGTCTTTCCATCTGAGTATTTCAAAATATTCAGAGTTCAAATATTCAAAATATCCTACTGAGAATTTCTTTTTAAAAGAAGCTTTGTCATGCTTTCTACCACATGACCTCATTGCAAGAACTGTGCAATGTAATTTAATTAAAATCCCAGCATTTATTTTGGTGGGGAATATGAAAAGTTTATTTTCTAATTCATAGGAAGGAGAAAAAAATGTTTGAGGTCAACTGCAGAAATATTGAAAAACAACTGTAAAGAAATGACTTAGCCTCTTACATATCAAAGTATGTTTTAAAGCTATAGAAGTTATTATACTGCAACAGAGTATAATTTACTTTCTTGCATCAAATTGGAAAAAAATATCAAAAAAGAATTTATTCATGCTTAGAAAGATAAAATGTTACTTTCAACTTTGGCAAGCAATTCTACTTATCCTACAGCAATGCTACCACACATTTCACAAAGATGTATATACACATAACACACACACACAACCTACAAGTGTTCTGTGGATTATTGATTTTCATAGTGAAAATCTGTAATTCAATGTGGAACAATATGGCAGCAATTACACCCATCTGAGAACACACACAGCAAAATTCCCTGCACCCATACAGAGAGCTATTCAGCCTTAGTGAAGATAACAAGCTAAGCCACTGGTTTTCAAACTTTAGTGTACATCGGAATTACTTGGAGAGCTTGCTAAAACACAGATTGCTGGCTCCAGGTCAGGAGTTTCTGATATAATGCGGCCTGATAATGTTTATTTCTAGCCAGAGCTCTCCAGGGACCACATATTGACAATCACCAGGTGAGAACCAGAATTGGTACTTTGGACACACGACCAAATGAAAAATTTTAGTCATAGAACAAAGCTTGCTATGATCTAATTTATTAAAAATTGAAGATGGACTGTGGACATACATAATTATATCCATGAAAATGCATTGAACAAGGACTGCAAGGTAATACATCAAACCACTTAATATTTACCTCTGGGAAGGGGCTGAGGGGAGGAGAGAAAAGAGAACACGCATGCTAAATATCCTATTGTTTAAATAATTTACAAGAAGGCTATATTCATTATTTAGTTGAGTTACAGGTGTGGCAATTTTGACAGAGAAAGAGAGAGGAAAGAGTAGAAAGAAAGTGGAGAATGAAGAAAGGAAGAAAGGAAGGAAGGGAGGGAGGGAGAAGGGAAGGAAAGGAAACAGGAAGGAGAAGCGGGAAACTGAAGACATCAAGAGCTCGTACTGGATTCTTAGATTTACTGACTACCCTTCTTTTTTTTCTTACTTCCTCATGTATCTTTATAATAAACCCTCATTGAATGAGGTAGTCCGAACATAATTATATTCCTTGCAAGCTAAAAAGTCTAATTAACAGAGATGCATCGGCTCTGCAGAGCATTAAAACACAAAAAATACTGAAATTGACTTAAATGCATCTAATTTAAAACAGAATATAGGAATGCTAAAGCCATTTTAAATCTACGTATTTTCTTGCCTATTCAGATTTAGAAAATCTCCACATTGCTCTAAGGTCTAGAGCTGATGTTTCCAAATTACTTAACACACACACACACACACACACACACACACACACACACACATACACACACACGGCCAACATATATTTCTATTATGTGCCAACAAAATGCTTATTACGCACCAATAATGTACATATATACATGTGTATATAAATAATATGTGTACATATAGATTCATAATATAAATTCAACTCTTTATTTTAATTTTTAGTCAGAGTCTCACTGTCATCTACAAGTACAGTGGCACCCTCAGCCACCGCAGCCTCGACCTGCTGGGCTCAGGCAATCCTTCTGCCTCAGCCTTCCAAGTAGCTGGAATCGCAGGCATGTGTCACCACACCTGGCTAATTTTTTTGATTTATTGTAGAGACAAGGTCTTGCCAAGTTGCCCTGGTTGGTCTTGAACCCCCTGGACTCAGGCAATCCTCCTGCTTTTGCCTCCCAAATTGCTGGATTACAGGTGTGAGCCACCACGCTTAGCTATAAATTTAACTCTTAAAAGGATTCTGTAATATAAATACAATGGTTATTATCCCCCCAATTATATAGATAAGAAAACTGAGGCACAGAGAGTCAAAGGTTAAGGAACTTTCCCAAGGTCACATTATTAGTTCTGGTGGAGCCAGGATTATACCCAGGCCATCTGCTTCCAGTGTCATGTTCTTAACCCTGCATTATATGGACCTCTCCTTCATTTATTTTATTTTCCTTGAATATATCAATATCCTCAGGGCACTATCCATCACTAAATTTTGTAAAATTTAAATTTAAACTAAATAAAAATTTAAACTAAATATTGTAAAAAAAAAATGTTAAAGAACCTAGAAAAAAATGCTGCTTTAGAATATACTTCTGGAAATAAACAATCCTTATGACTTTCACTGCTACATGGATAGGCAGCATTTTAAGAAATCTGTAGCTGAGTGAATGGGAAACTTCTCTCTTCCACTGCATTTCCAACTATCATCATGCTTAGATTAGACAATCAAGAAAGTCATCCCAGCTTCACGACATCAGCCAAGAAAAATCATCCTCAGGACCAGCTGCCAACAGCCCGCCCTTTAGTCTTTGGCCAGGATGCCAAGCCCCAGCTGTTCTGTCAGCCTTACTTATACAGTTTGTTGACAATGAAGAGGCCCAGTTAATTTTTCAAGCTGGCAATATAAGCTGAAAGGGATTCACCTGCAAACACTTTAATTACTTCTAGGAATGAAGCAATTTTGATATTGAAACTATCCCTTTTTTTTTAAAGGATCAGAGCATATTTAAATGGTTCCAAAAATGGAATCGTTTGAGAGAAAAAAAAAAAAAAAAAGGATCTATTCCTTTGTTTCAGAATGTTATTTTGGATTAGAAATGTACCACTGAAAGTGGACCATGGACATCAATAATTACATTTATGAAAATGCATTGAACAAGGACTGCAAGGTAATACACCAAACAAATAATATAATGTTTACCTCTGGGAAGTGACAGGAGAGATCAAAAGCAGTGATCAATGTGCTTCTGAATGTGAATGACCAAAGGGAAGATGTATGGAGAAAACAAGACATTTCAATATTAAGGGGAGATACAGGTAGAGAAAGAGGGAATGGAAGAACACCAAGGGAGAGTTAGAAACAGATTAGAAGTTTCATTTTTAAACATAGCTTGGCATTCAGAACGGCACATTCAGTGTGGGAATAATGGGAGCCTCAATGAGTCTTCTCTTGCCAGAAACGGCCTCTCATAAAGCTCTTTGGGACTTCTTTTAGATTTGCTTGGATGCCCTTTTTAGATCCCAATTTTTGATTTTAAAATTATTTCATGTCTACAAGTAGAACAATTATAATCAAATTATAACATCACTAAATTTTCTCTGACATAAAATTCCCTTGAGTTAATTCTATTATTTTAAAAAACTTTTGGTACAATTATTTTCACTTAGGCTCCACTGTTTTCTGAACAAATGTTACAACAAAAATGTTTTACATAGCCATTTCTTTTTAGTTCTTGTATGAAACCAAATTATCCTGACTCAAATTTTATTGATCTAAATTTTATTAAGACAACTTTATTCTTTAACCTATTTTCAGTTAATAATAAATGTTGAATTTTCAATTTTAGCCCTTTTAAGATGGATTTTTCAATAATTTTCAATAATTTTTTTCTGCACTACTTTTGCTCTCTCATTTTACCACCAGCGTAAGTTTTATGACATATTTTACCATTTCAAGTTGTGATCTTATCTGTCTTAGCTATTTATCTACTTATCAGTAAGTGTCATATGCTTATTTTTCTTTGTCCTTCAGAGTCAAAATGGTAGGACCGGAAGGTTCTTGAGTATGAAGAGTTAAGAAAGACAGAAGCAAAAAACAGGGTTGAAGTGGTGAGTTCATAATATCTCTATTGTGCTCTTCACTCTTCCCTCTGTAGCAATCTTTGCTGAATTTATTTTTTCTGGAATACAATTCTTAAAATATGTAACATTATCTACTCAATGAGACTCCTTCTCCTGACCCAGTGTTTATCTTGATTACCTATGTGAAGTCTGAGCTAGTCAGGTTATTGATAATAAGAATTGTCAATTCTTATTGAGTTAAACATCCTCAATATTCCCCAACCAAAATAGGTTTTTTCATCCTATATACATAACCTGAATATATTTCCTTAAATCTAACCCTTTATTTTGTTCCTATATTTTCTCTCTACATATAGTTGTAAGTTTGGTGCCCTTTGGAACTCTCCAATTTTGTTCCTGCTATTAAATTTGCTTAAGAAAGCTATAGCCAGTGATTCTGAAAGCCTGAGTGCACATAGCACCTGCAAACGTTTATTCTTCAACGTTTTCTATGAATATAATGACTGGGAGTAAGCAAAGTACATGTGACCTCGTGCATCACATTCTTCAGAACAAATGCCTCTTTGCTTGCAATTATGTCATCATGAAATCATGTTCCACATTTCAAAATAAACTCATTGCTGTATGAATTGTCATCCTACTGAGATATTTTTGGAGGTGCCTCCTTAACAGCTTCCTTAGAAGTATCTTCTAAATTTCTCACGATATGAAAACAAAAATTTCTTTTTTCACCTGATACACATGAAGACTTCAAGCTTGAATGTTCAGAAACAACCGTTCTAGTCCTGCATCGCACATTCATTTGCACTTGACACACACACACACACACACACACACACACACACACACACAGAGTTATAGCTAAATCTTCTAAAACATGTACTTTCTAACTTCCAGAAAATGTCAAAGAGAGGTGTTCCCAATGTCACAGTTCGGGACTCACCTGTGGACGTGGATGTCCTGTGACCAGACACGTCAATTCCAGGGTTTCTCCTTCCCGTATGGTGTAGACCCTTTCTGAGTAGCGCTCCTCCTCAATGTTACAGGCCAAGCCTGAGTGCACGATACGGACCGTGGGAGGAGCTGTCGAGTTAGGAAGAAAAGAGACAAGACACATACAAAGATAAGTAAGTTGTTCTCCCATGAACCGCCCTGATTGTAAGAGCAATTCTTATTAGACTTCACCATAGTCAGATCCATCAGTCGTAACATTTCCCCACGGGATTAGAGATTTTTGCTGAACAGAAAGCTTTGAATTCATCTTAGTCACCAACACACTTGCAGGAGAACAGGGTGCTGGGAGAAAACTGTTGCCTCAGAAAATCACCGTTAGTAAAAGATCCCCTAATAACATTTGATTGTAAAAGTGTGAGAAGACTCTTTTCTTTCTGAAATTCAAACTTTAATATAATAAGGACTATGGTACTAAAAAATGGGTAGTACAAAAGAAAGAAGACAATCAAAAGGGAAAAGGAATGTGAATCAAAGACACCGACATTTTTCTACTAATTATATAAGTCCTGTGGTGCAAGTTATGAAACTCAGGAGCAAAGTGGTTTGGTTCTCAGGAACTGAGCACTCATTTTAATTTACATATTATGGGCACCTGAATTGATATAAGCAAACAATGATTATTGAATTAAGCCACTTAAGAAGGTAATACATCATTGATGCCTTAGTCTAAAATTCTGTTTCAAAAGAAACTTAATTCTCATAAAACTGTTCAAATTTCTAAATATATGTTTCTCCTACTTCAGTGCCACAGGGACTAATAAAATTTAACTAGCACTCATTGACTTTACTTATCACTGGAAGCAACTGCATGCAAAAACTGTGAGTCATGAGAAATAACTAATAAAATACGGTGCCGGCCATCGTATAGATTACTGACAGCTACTTGCTTCAGATTGGAGATCATCCCCATTTGTATACTCAGCACTTTTGATTGCAATACGTTTGGGGGAGGAAGGGAAAAGGCTATTTTAGTTAAAGGCAAGTGGAAAGGCTATATTTATATGTAAAAGACAATGTTCTCAAGAATTTCTTGAAATAAATCTTTAACCTAAACTGCAGTATTACTAGCGGAGGCTTTTGATTGTCTGAAAATGAATGCTGGCATATTAGAATTTTTAATTTAGCATTAAACTATAATTAATCTTATCAAATTGGACAATGAATTTGGTGATTTTGTGAAGAAAAACATTATAAGGCTAACCTATATGAAAATCCCTTATAGGAAAATCTGTGTTTTGAAAGTAAAACGGAATAGTTTCCAATACCTAATACTTCGTTTTGTAGAACTTAAATTCACAGGCCACTCATAGAACTCAGCATTAATGGAAAAGGGTGTATTTTATTATCCTTTTCAATTTCAGTTAGAAATTGAAAATAGAAAAGCCCACTTAGAGAGAATAAAACAACTGGTTATTTCCATGTATTTCTAGGTACCAAAGCATAATCCTGTTATTTAATCCTTAAAATTCAGAACTCTGCTCTATATTGGAAAAAACAAACAAAACACAACAACAATAAAAAACAAAAAAACTCTGCTTTCTGTTTGGAAAAAAAAAACAAACCCCACTTTCTAATATCCATCATTATATGACACATAACATTTTACAGCAGAAGGATAAGAATGAGGTTATCCTTTATATTAAATATACAAAGACCTGATATGTCTGCAGAAAACTTCATTTTTCCCAAACACTCCAGAAAACTTCATTTTTCCCAAACACTCCAGAAATCATTTTCCCCAAACACTCCAGTTAACTACAGTGACACTGCTTCTTAGACTAGATTCTTAGAAATATTTTTCTTGATTATATAAATATTTATTAACTAGAGAAAAATTCTCTAAGGGTTAAATTGTCCTTTTTCTTTTGACTTTTTAAAGTAGCTAAACTTAATGCTATGCATCATTCCACTGGTTTGAAAAATTAAATGATGCTTAAACAAATCAAATGTCTATCTGGTCTATAAAACCAATTTATCAAAAATTTTCTGCCATGTCTTTAGACTCTGTCTAGACATTGTAATAATTTGTTTGGTTTTATGGCATTAGAAGTCCTTATCTTTAGTGTTTCTCTGGGTGTTCTGATATGTTTCACACAGTTTCTTGCAAATCATTTCCGACAGTGATCAAATTTTGACTTCAATTTAGATAAGTAATACTAGCAAGGTATTTATTTTTAGACATCTGTATTATATAGCTGTATTCATATTATATAGGCTAGCCAACCCTGATTATAATTAATAAATGCCTAAAAAACAAAAATAGAAACATTTTAATAGAAAATTTACATCCAATTTTATTGGATCCAAAATTTATTTTCATGCTAAATTTAGCTTCATAAGTGATAGCCCACATGTTTGTTAATACATCTAATTATATAATGACATGGCATCTTTTCAGACTAATTTACACTTGTTATTTTTGTTTTAATTTCAAAACAATGCATGTATTGTTATTTTCAAAAACATTGTACACATAAGTAGCTTTATTTAAACTATGTAAATTATACATTAAGTACAATGTGACATTTACAAGGGTTCATTTTCTGCTATTTTTTTCTTTATTTTAACACATTATTAGGAAAGGTAATTGCCTGTATACTGCAGTCATCATGAGCTTACCACCTATCCTGTAGGAGGGTGAAATTTTCCACCAAACTCTAAGTGTTGAAGGTGTTTTCCTTTCAGTATTCATTAAAATATGTGCTCAATGTTTTAGCTGCTCAATGATAAAGTGAACATTTTGGAAGCTTCTTTTAACTATTTCATCTACAGAAAGCTCATATGAAAGTGTCTTGAAGCTCATCAAAGTCAATGCTCTTATTTCCAGCTTAGAGAAGGAAAGTCAGAACATTAAATAACCTGGCCACAGTCCTGTGGCTAGCTGTCACCTAAATGAGACCTAAATTACTGGTTTGTTGTTCTTTTCCCTACTTCATGCTGTCTATTAAAACTATATCTGTTAGAGTTTCATTAGCGCTCTAAATAACTCCCAAAGTAGGCTAGGCTGGGGTGTGAAAAAAGATTGAGAAACTTTTCATGAAGTAGTTCGAACACTGTAACTAAATTAAGAATACAAGCAGTCGAATTGCTCCAGACTTTTTGTCCCAATTCACCATCCTGTTTCCAGTCCCTACCAAATCCATGACATCTAAAACTGCCAAAATAGTATTTTGAAATTTCTATTTAATCATGTCATTTTTCTGCTTAAAAACCCTTAATGTCTCCCTATGACTTTTCACAGTCTTAATAATCTCTCTTACATAGGTGGCATTTAGATCCTCTAAAAGTGTCCTCATACTGACTGTCCAACCTGAAATCCCATTTCCTTGTACTACCAGCCTATTTATCAGTGAGAAAGTAGACAGCCCTGAATTTTAAGTGTCTTTGCTTCTAGTGCTCCCCCATCTAAAATTCCCATACTGGTATTTGGACCCATGTTCCTGGCACCTTCTTAGATTACCTAACTGTGATTCTCTTCTCTTTTTAACAAGAGTTTTCTGTACAGATTGCTTGGTGATTTTCCTTTCACTTAACATTCAGACTTGATATTAAGCTCTCTAGTGCCAGGATGAGCATAATATTGGCATCGGTCCCATATCACAGAATTCAGAGCACAGAGTAGGTATTTATTTAATCATGAATTTATAGTTTCTGTTTGAACAAATATGACACTGACCTCCTATTTTATCAAAATGCCAACTATGATGGTACAGCGTTTTCTTATTATAAATAAAAGTGCAATTTGCAATGTTATACCTGAAGCAAGACATCTTTGATTGTCCCTTGTTGGAAAGAAAACCTCAATTCATCATTCTTAAATTGGACTAAAGGGTTATGATTCCCTTTGCCCTGTAAAGTCAGCCATGAATTTAAATGTTAAAATACCACATGAGACTCATATTCATCCACATTTCCTTGAAGTAAACCAAATCTCATTACATAAAATCTTTCCTAACAGTAATCATATCAACTGTCTTAATCTGAGTAAATTTTGGCTTTGGGTTCAAGAGGTCAGTCTAAAGGGCAAAAGAGAGACATTCTTTATTTTGTTAGAATACACTTTTGAAAGTTAAACTAAATTCTCCCTGGAGAAAGAAAACAAATAAATTATTCTCCAATGAGAACAAGCAGGAGCATTTTTATCCTTTCATCTCATATATAGACTCTCAAGCATGTATTTATTAAGCAAATGCTATAGTAGGCATGAGGCTATTCTCTGAGGATAGGATGATTAACGCCCTGAGCTGCAAAGTTCAGGGGGCTTACAGCCTATTGGGTCTGTCTAATTTATTAAAAGTTATTATAGTTGAACTGGATAGGTATCCTAAAAAAAAAAAGAAGAAGAAGAAAAGAAAGAATACTACATGAGTACAAAGCGGAGAATGGCCAAATCTGCCTGGGGGAGCCTAGTAGATTTCACAAAGTTAGTGACTCTTAACCTAACTTTTGAAAGATACTTTTGGGAACAAAAGGAGAAAGACATTCCAGAGAAGGAAAATAGTTGTGCTCAAAGATATGACTATAAGAGAGCATCTATTGTGTTCCTAAAATAACTATGTTAATACGTGACCCATGTAGTTTACAATTTACTCCAGCCCTGGACACTGGTCCCACTCTCTCAGCTTGCCATTATGTCCCCAGACATAGAAGAGACACTGTGTGGGCCTGGGAGTGGACATGAGGGTAGAGATGAATTCTAGAGGTCTTGTTTGATAGAACTTGTGATTAATGGAATGTGGCAGTGAGGGAGAAAGAGCTAAGATGGCAATGAAGTTTGTACCCTGGTTAACTAGGTGAAAATTTTTTTATTTTTATTTTTTATTTTTTATTTTTATAGAAGATAGTCTCTTGATCACCATAAAGCTCACAGTATTTACAGTCGGAAGAGGATTAAGATGAGGGGCTCTGAGCCCGACTCTTGGGGTTGGGAGCTTGTTAGTGTGAGGACTTAGATGAAACATGATCTTCAGAGAGAAGCTTTTTCCACTAACAAGGGCAGTTCCTGAAAGACATGCTGTTATTAGACAATAATCATTTTGGTATTAGGAGTTTTCTCTCCTCTAAGAGCC